TTTTTTATTTTTATAAGTATATTTCCAGTAGGATATGATCTCACTCATCTAGGAGAAATGGTGAACAACATAGACTGATGAACAAGAACAGACCCAGAGACAAGGAGCCATAGGTCACAGACTGTTGAACCTCAAAGGGAGGGTGGGGATAAAAGGGAGAGATCAACCAAAGGACTTATGTGCACACATATGAGCCTAACCAGTGGTCAAGGCCAATAAGGGGATGGGGGCATGAGTGGGGGAGGGGATTGGAATGGGGGGTGGTGGAGGACAAATATGTGATACCTTAACTAGGGGTGTCGAACTCAATCAGAGAAGGGGCCAAAATCTAAAATCCAGCCTAAATCGCGGGCCGAATGGTTTACTGAACAGTCATAAACTGTCATTGTGATGGAAACGCAGCGGAGTGCAGTGATGACAGCACGGTGCGGGCCACATTGCAAGGCCTGGCGGGACGGATTTGGCCCGCGGGCCTTGTGTTTGACACATGTGCCTTAATCAATAAAGAAATTTAAAAAATAAAAATAATGCAAAAAGGGAGGGGGGCTGCTGGAAAAACTACTTTAAAAGAGAAAAAACTTGCCAAATAGCACCACTATATTATCACATTTGTTGACCCATCCAACATTCTATTTTTACCTCCTTTATGAAAGGCCAGATCTTATTCGTGCTTATATATATTTTAATACCATTATAGGAGGTGAACTTGAGATACACATGAAATTAAAACCCGATTCCCACATGCAGTGGGGAGCCCCAAGATTTACGTTCTCACAGGATTTCTCCTCCAGATTCTCGGTTCTGGCACACTCCTCGTCAATCTCTGGTCTCAGCCTCTTCCCCCCACAAGCTCTCTGGTCTTTTTACTGATCACCAATCCATTTAAATAGCCTCTTGTCTTATTTTTCACAAACGCTGTGTGTGTGGCCGTATTACACACACTACAGAAGGGCTGCAGCCACGGTGGGAATTCTATCCCAGCACCCACACACCAAACAGTATAAAATACATCAGCTTATTTTATGCTGCTTAAAGAAAAAGGATATAAAGTTGTATGCGAATTATGATTGTGTTAACATGATCTATTGGGAGAAAAGGAAGGAAATATACAAAAGGGTTAATAGCAGTTACTTAAAGCAGCGATTTTCAAGATTTTCATCTCAAAGGTTGGCACACATAACTAATTACTAAAGTCCTGCTGCACACCAAAAAATATGTTTTATTGTAGATCTAACAAAAACAAACAAAAAAAGTATAATTTTGATTCATTCACACCAGAAGGCTATTGTTGTGCTGGCTGTTGTCATTTTTTTTAATTTGACAACCTAAGGGAAAAGAAGCCAGGGCCGCTGGCTAAATAGGTATTGCATGTTTTTAAAATTCTGACAGCACACACACTGGCTGAAAATTGATGCATATTAAAGTAATAAAACTATCATTCATTTTTTCCTCCACATCCCCCCAAATTTCCTACATTTTCTTTGTTGCATATGACCTCACAGGCAGAGGAGGGTAGCTTTCTCTCTGGCTTCCATACCTTGAGGTTTCTTTCTTTTTTTTAATCCTACCTGAGGATATTTTTCCCATGGATTTTTAGAGAGAGTGGAAGGGAGGGTGGGATAGGGGAAGAGAGGCAAAGAGAGAAGAAGAGAAAAACAAAGATAGAGAGAGGAATGGGAGAGAAAGAGAGAGGGGGGGGGAGAGAGAGAGAGAGAGAGAGAGAGAGAGAGAGAGAGAGAGGGAGATGAGAGTGACACATTGATGGGGTTGCCTCTTACATGCATCCTGAGCAGGTCAGGGATCAAACCTGCAACCCAGGTACATACCCTTGACCAGAAATCAAGCCCACGACAACTTCAGTTCTTGGACTATCTAACCACTGAACCACACTGGCCAAGGCAGAGTTTCATTTTAACATTAATAAAGCAATGTCATTTCTGCTCCCGCTTATGGAGCTGTTTTAAGCCTGTGGCTCCACATTTTCCCTTTTCCAAGGAATTACATTCCAGGAGCTTATCACAGATGACCTCTAACTCTTTGTTGCTCAACAGTTCACAAACGTCCAGTTGAAAATTGATAACACAAATGGAAAATTGCCTGGGGGTTCTTTCTCTACCTTTATGGAATGATGCTTTGACAAAAAGCCAACCATGAGAGCTGTCCATAGTCCCATATAATTCAGTAGCAAATACCAACCATGAGGGCTGTCTACCATCCCAATAGTTCAGTAGCAGGCACTGGGGGGCCTCGGGGGAAATTCGTCATCAGAACTCAGAAATGTCCTCTTCATGACTGCCCGTGAGAAAGCTGACTTCTGTCCTCAGTGCCAGGGACAGCCGAGCTCACCCTAAGAGACTTCATTTTTTAATAATTAGGCAACCAAACGAGCTTTTCCTCTTTGCCTGGTCACTGGGAAGCCCAAAGCCAAATTTTTGTTCTATAGGCACACACTTTCTACCCCAACTTTGCTTTCTTTCTTTTTCCCTTTAGTCCTTATTATATTTTATATGCTTGTTTTTTAATTGCTTTAAAGCCTTTATGAAACAAAGACAGTTTTTTTTAAAAAAGGACCTGGGTTAATGTTATAAAGAAAAACAAATTTGAAAAAGCACCCCTGGATTGATGTGAGCATATAACCAGAACTTCCTCGCGCTCTGCAGTGAGAAAGACAGTTGGCATCTTCTTTGGCAAAAGGATACTGATAGAGAGAAAGAAGAGTATTTCTCCAACCTTCAAAATTTCCTCTAAGAATCCTGGGCTGTTTTCCATAAGAAAGCTGGATCTCTGTAAGAATTGTTGAACTAGGAAAATGTTTTCATTAAGTACATTTAAACAGTTTTTCTCTGTGGTTTGTCCCAAGAAAATGTGAGTGTGTGTGTATGAGAAAGCCTGGTTGCTTGTGTTGTATGAGCATAGCACATGTTAATATTCATTTTTTAAGGGAAAGACTTTAGGTAAGGAAGAATCCCGAGTTTCTGCTCCAGGTCTCTTCCCCACAGAGAAGTAGTAACAGACACTAACTCTGAGGAGATGACAAACCTGCAATTCCAAGGCCAGACCTTGATAAACCTCAGTTGTGTAGATTTGTGTGTGATTGCCGTATTCCCTTCATTACTCTGGGCCCTTAGGACTCAGCATGAAATATTAAGATGAAAAACCCTGCCAAAAACTGGTTTGGCTCAGTGGATAGAGCATCAGTCTGCGGACTGAAAGGTCCCAGGTTAGATTCTGCTCAAGGGCATGTGCTTTGGTTGCGGGCACATCCCCAGTAGGGGTGGTGCAAGAAGCAGCTGATTGATGATTCTCTCTCATCGATGTTTCTAACTCTCTATCCCTCTCTCTTCCTCTCTGCAAAAAAAAAAAAAAAAAAAAAAAAAAAAATCAATAAAATATATATTAAAAAAAAGGGGGGGGGGAACCCTTACCTATTAAGGGCCAGAAGAATATTTTCTTTCATGTTTAAAATGTCCCATCGAATGTGATTCAGAGCTGGTTTGTTTTCCCCCTAAAGTACTTTCTAGAAAATCTTCCATCCCTTTTTGAAATAGGGCTGTGCCTTGTCACAGGGTTTGTCCTATGTATCCCCAGTTGTGACTAATGCCCTCCCCACAAAAACAAGTCCTCAGAGGATGGCTGTCTTAGCAAGAGCAGCATTGTTAAGTGAAGTGAGTTCTTCCCTGGAACCCTGCAAAGCTCTCAATGAAAGATCGCATTTACTCCTCACCCCCAATCTCTGAGGGAAAGCTATCCCCATTTTTACGCCGAGGCTCAGACCACTGAGTAACTTACCCAGGGTCACAGAGCTAGCTGCCAGATGACAGAATTCGTCTTCAAACCCAGATGTGTCCAACTCTCAGATATACGATATGCTCCCAAACATGACTTGATTGGAACTCTACTTGTCCAGAGGAGCAAAAAAAATTAAATTTTCTTTCCAGGGTCTTCCCACCTCAACAGATTTAAGAACTCCCCCAGTATTTTCTCATGGACAAAGGGTCTGATAGTCCTTGCTCCCAGTTAGACCCTAGAGCCGGAACTCAGATGTGCTCCTTGACCTCCCAGTAGGAGAGCATAGTAGTTTCCAATAGAAGATGGTTGCTTTAGAAAACAAAGGTAGGCCAGAAACCTGGTGTTGTAGAATGAATGTTTGTATCCAAAAGCTCAGATGTTGAAGCCCTGACATCTTGGGAAATAACAAGGTTTAGATGAGGACATGACACGAGGGTGGGGCTTCCATGATGGCATTAGTGTCCTAAGAAGAGAGAGACCAGAATGCTCTCCCTGCCCAGTGAGGACACAGCGAGAAGGCAGCCATTGGTAAGCTAGGAAGAGAGCCCTCACCAGGAACCAAATCAGCTGGCATCTTAATCTTGGAATTGCCAGCTTCCAGAATTGTGAAAAATAAATTTCTGGTGGTTAAGCCATCCAGTGTATGGTATTTTAAAAATTTTTTTTTTTTTAATTAATTTCAGAGAAGAAAGGAGAGGGAGAGAAAGAAACATCAATGATGAGAGAGAATCATTGATCGGTTGCTTCCTACATGCCCCACACTGGGGATTGAGCCTGCGACCTGGGCATGTGCCTTGACCAGGAATTGAACCATGACCTCCTGGTTCATAGTTGAGCCTCAACCACTGAGCAACACTGGCTGGACCAATTTATGGTATTTTTTTATGCCAGCCCAAGTTGATTAATATACCTGGTGTTCTACTGGTGTTCTGGGCCCAGCCAGGGTAACTCAGTAGTTGAGTGTCAATCAATGAACCAAGAGGTCCCTGGTTCAATTCCCAGTCAGGCCATGTACCTGGGTTATGAGTTTGATCCCCAGTAGGCATGTGCAAGAGGCAGCCAATTGATGTCTCTCTCTCATCAATGTTTCTCTCTATTCCCTCTTCCTTTCTCTCTCTCTCTCTCTCTCAAAAAAAAAAAATCAATAAAAAACATATTAAAAAATAAAAGTGACTTGGGTTCCCAACTGCCGTCTCTTTAGATTCACTCACCCAAGCCATTTGCTCAAGGCCAAATCCTTTGCTTTTTTTAGAACAAGGCAACATCCAGCACATCCTTCTATCCTGAGTGCTCTATCGCCTGGCAGCTAGTTCTGTGACCCTGGGTAAGTAACTCTTTATTCTCCTTTGGTGGTGAATCACCAGCACATCCCGAAGGTTTCTGTAACCTGAAATTACAGGAGATGGAAATGAGATTTTGGTCCCTTCCTTTCCAAGGGTGTCATTAGAGTCCTTATGCAAATTTACTTACTCCACTCTCTCCTTCTCCTATAATTTTAAATTTTGACTATCAATACAACTGTCACAGCAAAAACCTTACTGGATACTCCATGAAAACCACTGACAATCTCTTATAGGTACATGCTCTCTTTTGAGTCAGAGAAGATGCTGTGAGAGATGGGCAGGGCAAGAACTAGCTCCTTAGGCAAAAGAAAGTGAGGCTCGGGAGCAGGTAAGGGGCTTTCTTCAGGGCACAGAGCTTGTGAGTAGCGGAACCTAGACTCAGCTCCCAGTTTCTGAACCCACATGGCAGAACAGGGCACATAACATTAAAGGGAAGAAAACGGAAAATGTTATACAAAGCAATCCCAGGGTCAAATAGGCCCCTCTGTCTAAATATTCTCTAGACCAGTGGTTGGCAAACTCATTAGTCAACAGAGCCAAATATCAACAGTACAATGATTGAAATTTCTGAGAGCCAAATTTTTTAAACTTAAACTTTTCCTAACACCATTTCTTCAAAATAGACTCGCCCAGGCCCGTGGTATTTTGTGGAAGAGCCACACTCAAGGGGCCAAAGAGCCACATGTGGCTCACGAGCCACAGTTTGCCAACCATGGCTTTAGACAGAAAGGATATTTATAACTGGACAGTATTTTACCACCAATAGGGGCACAAATCCTTTTAATACTCTCCCACCCAATCTCCCACCTGTCATATACTCGCCTGCTTATTAATGGGACATGTCCAGGCAATTGAAAATTGTACCCAGGGGCTGCCAACTTCCTACTGGAGTTAACAGACACCCCCGCTGGTTATTCCCTGCATTCCTAAACCCAAAGATCCTGCAGAGCCTGGGAAGAGCAGGAAATTTCAAAAGCACCATTTCTGGTATGAGTTCCTCATCACTGCAGGACAGGTAAGGCCTCTGTCTTCTCTGAAACCCTGTGTTGCTTGGACAAGGGCCATTCTATCTTTCCTTATCAAACACGGGCACCTCCCCATTTCTCCTCAGAGAGCATGACAGGGCCCGGTGAGCTGCATGAGGCTCTGTGAGTGGGAAAGGCTTTGGGCTTCTGGGACCCAGAACCAAGTGCTTGCTACCACAGTCCTGCAGCCCCAATGCTCACCCCTCAGAGCTCATCCTTAACAATGGTGCTTGTTCTGCATAATCTACATCAACGAACAAGAATCCTAGGTCACACCCAATGGTTAAATCACACACAGTGGAATCCCACTGTTAACTTCTTTCCATGAAGCAACTTTATTACAAGATAGGTTTCTCCTGCGCACGGTTCCAGACTCTCTGCTGCCAAGTTACACAAGGCTCCCAGTACAAAGAGTCCCATCTACAGGGGCCGTGCTGCGTGCTCCAAAGGACAGAACTGCCAGTACGTGAGCGTTTCCAGCGCTCTGAGTCTGCGCCCTGACTCCAGCAGGAATTTCAGCAGGTTATGGAAGGCACAGTCAGTACCGGCTTGGTTCAGATAGTCTTTGTTAACCCCTGAAAGGGCCCTGTATGTGTGTGCATGCTAGAGCCTTCTGGTGTGAGCTCCCAAAACTTGTGATCCCCAAAATCATAGGAATGTCAATGCAGTTGAAAGTCTGGGCAGAGACTTAAAAAAAAGTTAAAAATAACAAAAGGGCCGAAACCGGTTTGGCTCAATGAATGGAGCGTCGCCTTGCGGACTGAAAGGTCCTGGGTTCGATTCCAGTCAAGGGCATGTACCTGGGTTGCGGGCACATCCCCATTAGGGAGTGTGCAAGAGGCAGCTGAGCGATGATTCTCTCTCATCGATGTTTCTAACTCTCTGTCCATCTCTCTTCCTCTTTGTGAAGAGTCAATAAAATATATTTAAAGAAAAAAATAACAAAAGGAAGACAAAGTTACATGTCAAACAAGTAGTCACGTGTTGTGATTCCCAACTGGACATGACAACATGTATATAACAGCAAAAATGTCACAGACCCTCCCCCCTTCCCACATGATACTAGCTCCAAGGTAAACTATGAGAACATACATGACTATAGCGGGGGTTCTAGGTGGGAAGAGGGTGTGGTGAACTCACAGAGATGGGTGGGGGCAGGAGGCTCCAAGTATCCATAGTAAGGGGGTGAAATTTTGAGAAGAAAGACGCTGGAAACTTCTCAGCAAGAGCAATGTATACAACAGGGGAAGCTGAGAAGATGAATTTGGCAGTCCAATTATAAATAGATGACACGAATCATCACCATCTCTCATTCAATGCAAATAAATCAAAGGTTCCCACCCTATCCCCAAGAAGATATTTCCAAAAATTAACAAGAGAGGACCTGGCTGATGTGGCTCCATTGATTGAGCATTGTCCTGTGCCCTGAAAGGTCACCTGTTCAATTCCTGGTCAGGGCACATGCCTGGGAGGCAATCAATCAATATTTCTCTCTTACACTGATGTTTCTCTTTCCCTCTTACCTCTCTCTCTCTCTAAAATACATTTATACATTTTAAAAAATAATAAGGGAGTGTTTGGGGAGAGAAACACAAAAAGCCCTAAAAATAATCCAGATAAGCACAGAAAAAGACAGTTGACTTGAACCCAACACACACACTGTCAAGTCCAGACACAGAACAAGCATTTACAGCAGAGCAAGATTTAAATGGCCAGTGACGCTGACTTCCAGAGATACTTCGGTGATTAAATAAAGTTAGAAGGAAACAGCTTCTCTGTCTGACAGCACATCAGACCTGTTAGTAGAAATACATGAACTGAAGCCAGCCACATCAGAGTCAAAGGAAATGGGAAGATAATTTGAACTGATCGTAAATAGTTCCTGTTTTCACCCTCAATTTCCAAATAATCCTTGTTGCAATATTTCCGATAATTTCTCCAGTGAATCTTCCCCTGAAGTGGACTTGATTTGAGGAAATGATATTAGATCTACAAGGCACAGTTCCATTTCTCTTCATATCCTGTAAACTTTTCCCCAGGGGCAGAACCTCCTGAGATTTTTTTTTTTTTAATGCTCATCTAAGGAAATATTTTTATTGATTTTTTAGAGAATGGAGAGGGAGGGGAGGAAGTAGGGAGGAAGAGAGAGGGAGAGAGAGAGAGAGAGAGAGAGAGAGAGAGAGAGAGAGAGAGAGAGAGAGAGAGAGGCATCAACATGAGAGAGAAACACTAATTGGTTCCCTCCTGCATTCATCCTGACTGAGGATTGAACCCACAACCTTTTGGTATACAGGAAAATGCTTCAATCACTGAGCCATCTGGCCAGGCCCTCCTGAGGTTTTTAAGAGAGCTGGGCAGAATGCAGGACAAGGATTGCAAGTGGGGGGATGGAATGAAGTAAAGAAAAATAAGCAATTTTACTCGATATGATTTAAATTTCCTTGCAAAGACAGAAAAAGAAATAACTACTGCTATTTTCCCCTTCATGTTGTTAACAAAATTTCCAACTACTGCACTCTGCCATGAGGTCCTAATCAAAACAGAGGGAGAAAGAATGTTTTCATTTCTTTCTTCAAGGAATCTTGTCTAAGACTACAGGTTTTACCTGGGATGAGCCAATTTGGTTCTGTCATAATAACACACATGCTACTTGGTGTCTCTTGTTTTGTTCTATCATTTTATTTTTGCCTTGCAAATAAATAAATATTAAAAAGATGCTAGGTGGAGGCCAGTTCTGAGCAAGAAAAAGAAACCATAAAAATTTACTTTTGAAGCATGAGATGTAGAATTCATCAAGAGCCCTCACTTAGACTTCATCTATCCATGTTTAGAATTAATGCCCACCTTATCGTGAGGTTCAGAACTCACCCTCTCTGGGGGCACTGGCTTAAACTCAGCAAGGACTTTGGTCTGTGCCTGAGCTCCTCCAAACTGTTCAGAGGGATTATTCTCCTGGGAGTCAGCCCATGGTCTCCACCCAGGGAGCAATGATGTCATGTTTGCAGAGCACTTTGCACCTCCTCAGCAGAGGAGTGTGCAAACCCAAGACATTCCTCTCATACTACACGAGACACAGCCATCATTATCTTTTTGTTTCACATATTAAAACTGTCCTTCTAGCTAGGCAAGTTCCATGGAGTCATGAGAAAGGAAAAAGAGCTTCCATAAATGACCTTCGTAGATTTTTCTGTGGGATATTTTGAATAGTCTTTGTGCCAGCTAGCGCTCTCTCCCCCTCACCTCTTTGTTCTTTCTTTTTTAAAATATGTTTTTATTTTATTTTATTTTACTTTATTTTATTTTATTTTATTTTTAGAGATACAGGAAGGAAAAGGAAGAGAGAGAGAGAGAGAGAGAGAGAGAGAGAGAAGAGAAGAGAAGAGAAGAGAAGAGAAGAGAAGAGAAGAGAAGAGAAGAGAAGAGAAGAGAAGAGAAGAGAAGAGAAACATGGATTGATCAACTGCCTCTTGCGTGCCCTGGGCCAGGGATTGAGCCCACAACCTGGGCATGTGCCCTGACTGAGAATCAAAACTGCAACCTCTCAGTGCACAAGATGACACCCAACCAACTGAGCCACACTGGCCAGGCCCACATTGTTCTTTCCCGGAGTGACTGCAAAGGGGAGGAAGGGAGAAATGAAGGACCATAAAGAGAAAACTAAACAGGGATCCATCCTCTTTGCAGTCACGTATTCCCAGAAGGGCGCCTTTCCCATGTTCACCAACAGAACCTGATTAAAACATCTGTCCATATATTCCAATTCAACTCTACATGCAGGGCAGGCCATCAACAATTTTCCCCTCTAAGCGCTTACATCTTACAGTGGGGGGTGAGGGGAGAACAAATTTTGATTTCGAAGGATATTGGTAATGTTAGGGTGTTGCAGATAAGAAGGTAAAAGGCAAGTATTAGATTTAGTAGAAG